CATGCAACAAATAAACAAATTTTAAACATGACGATTTAAACGATTGATTTTAAAAGGGCTTTAAGATGTACTTGAATTTAAGATTTCTCACGAAATCCGTTTTAAAGTCAAAATTAAATGGCCTGATTGAATTGGCTAGTTTTAGAAAGGCTTTTAAAGAGTATTTGAAATAGGAGTTCAAATGCTGCTCTGTTTGAAAGATATTTTTAGAACGTTTTATCTTAACTGAAATTAAGAAAAGCTTTAAGAAATTTAGTGATTCACTTATTTGAAATTATTGTTACAAATTATGAAAGTATTCTTTCTTATATTAAAAAAAAAAAAATGTTCCGCAAATTTTAAGAAACCCCAGTAAGTACAAGTTAAAGTTTAAGTTACAGTGGCGGCCTCAAAGGAGGGGCGTCACACACAAATAAGAGAACTGACTACTTAGAGGATTAGCTAAGCACATAGCAATAAGAACTTTGCTTAACTTACTAATTAATTGCCCTTAAAGAAAAAAAGAGAGACATAAAACGTCCTTTTTTGCTCTTCTATTTAATTAATTAGAGAATATTTTTTAAAAAAAATTAAAAATCACATTAAATCATTTTATGAAAACAGAATCAAAACACCTAGTAAATTTTTTTTTTAAAAATACCAAGATTACCTAAAGTAATACTTAATATAAATTGGAAAGTGTAATCTTGGCATTTTTTAAATTTAACTACTTCAGGGAGTGTTTTTGTAATACCCGAGATTTAATTAAGCCTTAAGCCAATAATAAATAATTTAATAAATTAAAATCATGCACCACATTTACCATTTATCTCAAAGTTATTTGTTGGCATTATATTTTATTATTATAGCTATCATATGATTTTATTAAACTTATAGCTTTGCTAATCGAGTTTTCAGTTTTAATGTGCAGTGCAACTAGCTCGATGTGGGAACTCAATGTGCTAAACTTATGAAGAAAAATGATATTTATTATGATTATTGGATATGACATTTTACCTCTATTATGATTTATTTAATGATGAATTATTATTTTATATTTTTATTATATGGTTTTATGTAAATGTGTTGAGGACTTAGTTGTTATTTTGAGTTTTTGGTGAGAGAAGTCTATGTTAGCAAATTGAGTGAACTTTAGGCACCTAATTGAAGAAGAAAAATAGAGACTTTATAGCTTATTTTATGAGGTTAGGATAGCTATTAGAGGCTTAGAAAAACCTAGGCCCTTGTTTTATTATAAGGCCACTTTATTTTTATTTAGTTTCTATCAAGTTTAGACTTCATTTTTGGGTCTACTTCAGCAAGAAAACCTAGAACTCCGACCATAGCACTTTCTTCTCTCTTCTCACTCCTTTTCTCACCCAAAACTCAGAATCAAACCTAGGTTTTTAAGAGAGAATGAGCTAAAAACTCAACCAGCCCATTTCAACTCGTTTTCAACCTAGAACCAAAAATAACCACCAAGATTTGGAGCTTCTATTCACTTGGGAACACATTTTTCTTTGAGGTAACTTCTTTCTTAAGTTAGGAACTAAGATTTCAGAGATTAAGATGTTCAAATCCTATTTGAGATTCGGATTTTTGATGGGGTTTATCATGCATATTGGTTGTAGACTCTTAAAAATGAGTTTCTTGAGGTTTTGGTTCAAATATTAGTTTATGGGTGAAATTAATGATTTTAGCTTGATATTATTGATGATTATTTGAAGATAAACTCTTATTAAGATGATGATTCATGTATGTCAGAGTGGTCTTTGAAGATTAAGATTTGCATGCTAGGTATTTGATGAAATGTTCAAATATAAGTCCTCTGTACAGCCTATGTAGATTCTGTTTTCGTGCCATATATACTTATGATTTTGACTGATCTTATATTTTTCTATTAAAGTATACATCTCGAGCTTTATGTGAGTTTTTGAATCACTCCAAACGGATTTTTCTATATTTAGTTATGAATTTTATAAGTTCAGTTAAAAAGCTTTTATTTTCCTGACGAGATTAGACTTCAATCTGGATTTCGGGCTGTTTTTGGTTAGTTTGAAAAATCCGAAACCCATCATGTAGTAGCTCTAAAAAGAGGGTTTTGAGCCTACTTTTATTTGCCACTGGTCTCATAATATTTTGAGTTTTGATGAATTCGTTATGAATATTTTCGTAATATTGCGCAGTTATGTGTTTGTTAAATGATGATATGAATGTGATTTTTGAAAGTTATGGTCTTTAAAGGTTAATTAGCACATTGAAGGCTCCCCACAACCAGCTAGTTTGTGCTTGCAAAGTGGTGAGCAAAATTCAGGTAAGTAGAGTTAAAGCATTTTCAAAAATGCATCACAAGTCCTATTTGATTTAACTTGTTCAGAATTATGATTATACAAGTTTATTCTCTTATGAAATTCTTATATGATTATGTTCAAAGAGTATTCATAATTAATTATTTTGAAAGAGATTATGATTTATGCTTATTATGTTTTTATGTTTTAAGAGATTTTATGGTATGGTATATGGATGAGAGGCTGAGTAAGCAGGGGTGCGAGGGACCAGTATCCCAAATTAGATAAACTGTCTCGTTGAGACAACTAAAGAAAAATACTAGTGGGAAGTTTCTTGTTGATCACAAGAGAAAGATATTCTAAAAACCCTGCTTAGTGTTTAAGAGAAGAGAATTGGCCAAAACTAGAGAATGTCCTGTATAGAGAGGCTTACTTGGAACCGAAGTTCTGTATCATACCTAAACTAAGAATAAGTATGAAAGTTTATGAACAATGATTAACAAAGAGATTTTAGTCACAAAGATTTTAGATACTTACTTGATTTGAAATCTACTTACTGAGTTTTTGCTCATTAGTTTTACCTTGTGATGCAGATGTTGTTGTTGTTACCGAAGAGTAAAAAGAAATATGATTTCCAAGGCTGGCTGAGTACTCTAAGTCTTACATCTGACATCTTGCTTATATGTACTTCCAAACACTAGATGGGCTCAAAATGTTTTTGTTTTGTTACTATGTCGCTTTTGAATAACTATTTAATATTTAAGATTTGTGGTTGCACACTTACTCATTTTGTTCAAAAACTTTTAAGAAAATTTTGTGATGAAATCAACCACAAGTTTCCGCATCTTAAAAAAATGATATTGTTTTAAGTATATAAAGTATGTTTTAAATAGCACCACCTTGCTAAATTCGGCCTTAGACCGGTTTAGCCTATGGGGGCGTTACAGTTTTGGATCTAGTTCTATAAAGACAATGGGTGTTTTGGACATATGCATAATAAGAGGGTGCGAAAGTAGTATTTTGCAAAACACAGGGGTATTTTGAGTATTTCCTTTTTGAAATATGAACTTCCATAAAATTGCACTTCTAACTCAATTTTAGTCGGGCAAAGCATACAATTTTTTACCGACTTAATTATTGACCAACTACCATCGTACATTCTAAGCACTTATTTAAGTTCCAGAAGTTGCTTGACGCAACAAAGTTGGGAAAAATCAAAATACCATCTTAATTTGCCCGCAACAATTGATCACAGTATTGGTCTAAAGAGCAGGGTAGCTCACATTTTTTAATAGAAAACGCTCGTTTAATCAATCAGGCATAACTATATGGTCCAACATTATTGTTGGACTCCAGAAGGAAACAAAAAACAAAAGAAATTTGTTGCTGTACATGTAAGGAAAATTGGGATGAGGGGGGAAAAAAAAAGTTTCATTTAATTAATTTATTTATTTTTTTTTGGCTCTCAACTCAATTTTGTTAGGTATCATTTCCTTTGGTGGTAAAACCGAGGGATGAAATATGTACAATCTACCATACAACATGAAACGACCGATTCTGAAATGAAGATTACTTGCTATGCATGGTTAGAGATTGATCCTCTGCATCGGATGCGATCGTTATGATGCTTGATAGGGATGAATCAGGATACTGTTGTGGTTCCTCAATCTCCATGAAATAGCCAGGTCTATTGGGGCAAGGCAATGCATGGCTATCACTGCTTAGCATCACAACCACCGACGACATGCCTGGCCTGTCCGCAGCGCGATGTTGCACGCATAACAGACCGACATGGATGCAACGCAAAACTTCCAGCACATTGTGTTGTGAATCCCTTAAGCACGGGTCGAGCAACTCAATTGCCCTGCCTTCTTGCATCAATGTCCAGGCCTGAAATATTTGCAACCATCAACTTATATGAATCCATACATATGTATGTTGTGGAGTTCAATAAATCAAATTAAAAGACATCAGTTTCTTGTCGTACTTACATGTCCAGTGAGTGTAAGGTCTTCCTTTACACAGGAAAAGCTTGTACTTCTCTTTCCGCTTACAATCTCTAAGACCATTATACCAAAGCTAAAGACATCGGATTTTACGGAGAAATGACCAGTATGAACATACTCTGGTGCCATATAACCACTGCACCGTAAAATCACACTCCTTAGAACTTCAATTGATTATGAAGTTGATGTAAAACCTATAAAGAGCGGGTGGGAATAGTAATACTTACTAAGTTCCTACAACACTGTTTGTGTTTCCTTCTATTTGGTCTCCTCCAAAAGTTCTAGCCAAACCAAAGTCTGAAATTTTGGGGTTCATCTCATTATCCAGTAAGACATTACTAGTTTTGAGATCTCTATGTATGATTCTCAATCTTGAATCTTGATGTAAATATAGAAGCCCGCGTGCAATTCCACGTATGATTTCAAAGCGGTTTCTCCATCCTAGTAGTTTAGATGAATTTTTATCTGGCAACCCAAAATAAAAATTTTTCAAGTTTGTCAATTACAACAAACAAAATAAGAAGTTTACATGTATGTTTCGCAAGTGTTGACAACGGCATCAATGAAAGAGTCTAACCGAAAATGAACAAGTCGAGGCTTTTGTTAGGCATGTATTCATAAATCAGTATTTTCTCTTTTCCATGAATGCAACAGCCAAGAAGCTTCACAAGATTCCGATGTTGAAGCTTTGCGATCAATATTACTTCATTTTTTAACTCATCTATTCCTTGTCCTGAATTGATTGAAAGTCTCTTCACAGCAATCGCTTGTCCATCTTTTAACTGACCCTGAAATCCCATGTTAACCAAAGATGTTAAAAGCATTATGGTTGTAAATTTAGAAGCTTTCTTCATCCATATTCCATATGATTGTCAAATCAAATAAAGGCTTACTCTGTACACAGGTCCAAAACCACCCTGTCCAATCCTATTGTTTGATGAAAAATTATCCGTGGCGGTTATTAGAGTTGATAACTCGAACGATGGGAGCTCTAGATCTTCCTCTTGGTCTCCATTTTTCTTACTTTTATCTGTTTATATGAATAATTGTATGAAGAGGAGTTTGAAATCTAGCACATAGACTATCCACTAAATCTTGTCAAAGAGCTAGATCACAAACTTTAATATTACTATACGAAGATCTTAAAGGGAAAAAATAAAAATAAAAAATTGTGATTAAATAATAATTTGGACAATATGTCCCTGAGTAATTAATGATTTTCAGAGTAAGGGCAAGAATACCTTTTGATTTTTTTCTGTAAATGAAGTAGCCAAGTAAGAGCACCCCACAAAATCCTACAATGCCGGCCGCTAGTATCACAGCTCCCACCTTAGAATCAGAGTTTCCTTTTTTTGTTGGTAATTTCAACATGAAAAAGGGAAGAAAAAAAAATTAGTCGACCAAAAAAATACGAAAAGTCATGGTATAATTCAACAGAGAACATGAATATGGATCAAAAAAGGAAGAAAAAAAAGAACAAATATCATTAAAATTGGCCATACCTAGCTCTGAAGCTGGCATTCTAAGATACAGAACCTGTTCACTTGAAGAAACTTTTCTGATATCCATCAGATCGCCAAACCACATGATGCAACCACTTCCACCATTTCTGATATCGGAGTTTGCATAAGCCATGCAAGAACAATTGCTCAAACATTTAGCCCTGCATTCCTTTAGGTTCATACTCGTATTCGCGCGAGCATATGCAGTATCTGGCAATTTCAAGTTAACAAATTCGACAAATCCATCATTGTCTTTATCTTTGCAGTCTAGCGGAGTATTTCGTGTACAGCCGTCCGACCATTCTGTTAACCATTTTTCTGGGTACTTAGGCTTGAATCCTTTCATACATTGGCAGACCGGGCTGTCACCTATGACACAATTCCCATTGCCTCCACAAAGACCATAGCTGTCACACTGTTCTGTAGGAAAGGAATCGTAATGACTCCAACTCTTATCATCTTCGGCCCATACAATTCGTTCACTCACCATAGTTGTTTGATTCAAAACTACTATATTGATCATAGCGTTGCTCTTGAGGTTGAAAAAGTAATAAGCTTCTTCTTCATTGTAAACAAAGTAGAAGTCATAAAGGTTGTTTGGCTTTAACAATTGAATACCACTTGCAGTGACTCCATTCCATGGCCCGAATCGACTCGATTTTGTGACCCCCTGCCGAAAATAAGCTTCAGGAAATCTTTGTTGTTGAACATCAATTTCCACACCCCAAGTAAAGTTTTCAGGACAAGGGTCATCCCAATTCCTCCATGCCGATATTCGCCAATTTAGACCCTTCCTATAGTTCAATCCCAACTTCATCCCTGGTAACAATATATTAGAAGGCTCTTCAAATCTTTCCCACAAATAGTTCTCCGAGTTTCCATCTTCCTCATCTCTTACTATAAGATTACCAGAATCTAGAAGCTGTAGAATCGGTTTCTGGGCTTGTTTCGATGAGTTCGTCGACCAAACAACACTCTTGTTCTGATATAAAAGCACAAGATTCCCTGTGCTGTTCATGGTCAACACGCCCGAGGAATCATTGATCGGATTGCATCGGTTTGCGACCCAAACGACGGTTTGAACTGTAATGTTCTTGTACCAAATCCCGACATAACGATTTTTGGAATTTCCAGGACTGAAGAAACCAAGCTCAAACATTCCTTCTTTAGAAACCAAAGTTGTTCCATCACTGATGGATTGGTTTAGACCAATGCTGTCTGCTGCAAAGGAGAAAGTAATGAATGAAGACAAGAACATAGAAGCAATAATATACAAACAGAATGAAGAAAGCGCCATTGTTGTCCAGCTTGCTTTGAAGTCTTTGCTTATCTGCTTTGAGAAAGTACAACGAAGAACAGGCTGTGTTATGTTACTACTTCTTTTATACATATATTATATGAAAACAATTGATTAAAGTCTAATTGTCAAACCATGTGCACGAGAACAAAAAAGATTCCCATAATTTAAAAGATAGTATAAATCTCATATGTACCCTCAAACTTTAGTATCATTTTTACTTTGCACCTTAAACTTTGAGAACACCCACTTTACCCCTTAACTTTTTAATAAGTCCAACACTCCACTGAACAACTTTCATTAAAAATTTAGTTAAAAACTGATGGAAAAAAATGGAATAATAGAATAAGACTCCGTTTGCTTCGTGACTTCAAATTCTATGGGTTTGAACCTTTAAATTTGAACTTATATATAAGTTTTCTGTGTTTTGAACCGGTGTTTAGTAGTGTACAGTCTAAACATGAAATAAAGTTTAAACCATTATTTAGTTACATTATTAGAACTGAGTTTTTAAAAAATGTGAATGAAAATGGTTGGGGGAACCTTTAAATTGAGTTCAAACTACATTTTGGGTTTAAACTATCCACAACCCTCCAACTTAACAACCCATAAGTCTCACGTACTCAACCCCTTCTATCATAATTTTATGTTGAAAACAAATGGAAAAGGACCACATGCTCTTACTTAACACCCCTTTTTTCCATCTATTTTCAATAAAAATTTTAATAGAGATGGTTAAGTGAAATTGATTTAAAATTCAAATGGCATAGTAGAAGGTTTTAAGAATTATGAGAAAAGGTGAAAATCATCATAAAATGGAGGGGTGCATATAAAACTAATCCTATATAAGTATAACTGCTACAATAATTATAATAATGAGTGTAGTTTTAATGGCTTTTCAAATGTATATCAATCGGTGAATATTATTATTTTAATAGTGTGATATTAATCAAATGGTTATTATAAATTGTGTAGTTGAACAAAAACATGTGTAGCAATTAATAAATTAGATTTTTATCACGTCATATCATTAAATTTCTATATTTAATGTGTATCTACCAATAGAAACGTAACCATTAAAGTCTCATCATTATAATATATATTAATGATAGCAATGATAATCTTTATTTCTATTGGTTGATGGAAACTAAAACAATGGTGTAAAAGAATGGGTTGCGGTGATGCCAAGAACATAGATAAAATATCTCTACATCATTGAAACGTCAAAAGGGTACAATAATATTATCCATATGGTTGAGTCATAATGTTGAAAAACCAATTATATAGTTTTAAAATATTACGCAAATTACATCCAGATTAAGTTTGCTCATTCAAAATATAAAAATTAATAAATCGTGCTGAATATGATGGGCCAACTTTGTCAACGAAATGATCAAATGATCAATCCCATTAATCCACCAAAACATATACTAAAACTAAATTGATGATACTTGGTCATCGGGTTGCCACTTTCAAGAAATTATATAATTATGTTGGTCAAGGAGTTGAATCATTCAATTTCAAAAAGTTGGTACCGGTTCCAAAATGACTATTCCGAATCCTAGTCAAGATAGCACACTACTTTTCAATATCTAAAAACAAAACACATGATTTGGCAACTAAAACAAATGTTTCTGTCATATCATTATCAAGGTGGCTTTCTGCATTAAAACCTCACAAAAAACAAATTCTACGAAGTTATCCCAAATCAATGCTTTCATCCCTCTTTTATTGTTAACGGGGAAAGAACTCAAAGATTTTCAGTATTTTGTTTAAATACCACTTTTGCCCCTTTTATTATAAATACTTAAAACAAACTCTGTATTTTACAATGACTCAAGTACCCCTTGAAGCAATTAAATCTTTTAAAATATCAAGATTGCTCTTCCCAATCTATATATCAAATATTATTTTATATTTGATTTAACTAAAAATTTAAATAAAAAAATATATTCCAATTAAACAAATACTTCAATTATTTTGAGAGTTTTTCATTTTTCAAGATTGATTTCATTTAACACTTTATTTTTTAAATGTTTTAAATTGTATTTAATAAAGGTTGGGAAGGTAATCTTGGTACTTTAAGAAAAATTAAATGCTTCAAGAGGTATTTTAAGTCCGATTTTAAAAATACAGGGGCGTTTTGGGCATTTGCATACTAAAAGGGGCAAAAATGATATTTTGACAAAACATATAGGATATTTTAGGTATGATCCCTTATTAAATTTCAATGGAAAAGTCAAGATCAAAGTGAAATTCAATATATAGTTTGGGGCCAAAAATAAAAGTGAACCGAGGAGTTTGGTATGAGGTGAATTGTCTAGTGGGTCCAAATTTAAGTTGGAACGTGCCTCATGTGTCCGTTTCGCTGTATCCTATTGATTTATGATAGCTAGCTTGATTGGCAGGGATTGCTGTGACTGATTATTAGTCAGTAGTTAGTTATGGTACTAGAAATATTGTGTAGTTATAAATAGAGATGTTGGCAATTAACGAGGTGATGGAATTATTGATAAATCGATACGTGTCCTATCAATTGGTACTAGAACAATTCTTTCCCAGGGTGTGGACTGTGCAGACTGACGGTACACAGTTTTTTAAGGACAGTGTGTATTGAATCGGGTTGGCAATTCAGATAGTGACACGACGATACGATTTAAAATCCGCATAAAATTAACGGGTTTAGGTTTGTTATAAATAAGTTTAGATCATAATCGGGTTGACACGATTAATAAATGAGTTGGGTTAGAGTTGACCTCTTAACATGAAGTGACATAAATTGACACGATTAACTATATGTGTTATCTGTAATATAATAATATGTGATATAACATGAAAGTTTATATGACATATTAAATACAAATAATGTGAATTTTAATATTTGTAGGTAAAATTCATTTTTTTTAAAGGAAAAGATAAATTGACCAATAAACATATTAAATCTGTCTTGATCGTGTTAAATAAGTTATTATTATATTAGTTATTTATTCAATATATTAATTTAAACGGGTTATACGAGAGTTGACATGATTAACACGATTAATAAATAGGTCGTGTTTGATTGATATTTTTGACACGTTTAATAAACATATCGTATTTAAGTTGATATTTTTTTATACGATTAATAAACAGACTGACACAAATACAACCCATCGATACGAATTGACATCCTTAATTTCAAAGTTTACTAATTTAAAGTGCGCGTATGGAATTCTTTGGAGGCATTTATTAGTATTATCTATATTTAAGTCTTGTACCTTGTTTTTTCTTGTATAACATTAGACGGAAACAAGAGCAAATGAGTAAAATAGTGAGAAGTAACAAAAATAAAGGACTAACAAAACCGGCCGTTGAACTTTAGTAATATGGTATAGATACATCTAAAAATACACGAGATATTTACGGAGACGGAACAAAAAAACAATAAAAAAGTGAGAAGAAAAAATAAATGGTGGAAATAAAAATAAAAAATGTGGGAGGGACAAAAAATAAATCCGTTTGGTTTTAGACTTGGTGCCAAGGTCATCATTCCCTTTGATTGCACAACTAAAAAATTATTCTGAAGATCTACAAGAAGATTAAAAAATACGAAATTGTATCAAGATTTATATGAAAAAAAAAATATGAAAGAAAAACAGAAAGAGTAAAAAAACAAAAAACAAAAAAATAAAGGGAGAATTAAAAAAACAAAAAATAGAAAAAAGGAAAACAAATAGAAAGGGGAAATGTTGGATAACTATATTATTTATAGTTTTTACTACTCATTTTGCACAACAATCGTCTTAGTTCTTAAGATTCTAATTTATTTTGTTGTGGTTTAAATTAGTTTATTATATTCATTTGATTTTATTTTTATTTAATTTAGCATGATTTTATTTTATTTTATCATATTTTCGTTTAATTTTATATTTATTCTAATTATTTATTCTATTTGTATTTTTCAAGTCGTTGCTTACCATGAGTTATACTAAAAACTCTTTAATTAATTATTTTGAAAACTTAGTTACTCAAAATTTCAGAGAAATTTTTTTTCTTCATTTTTTTGAAACTCATTTTAAATTTCAACACTCTTTGCATTCACACACTGACTGCGAAAATAACTGTTGGTGAATTAAAACGTAAAGAGTCATGCTAAGGTTTTAATAAAATATAAGGATAAAATCATTTCAATATCTTCTATTATAGTGAATAATTTCATTGGTACTTCGTATTTTTAATAATATTAAAATAATATCTTCACCTTTAAAAAAATATTATTTAGGTACTCTGAGACTAATTTTGTGGGATATAAAATGTCTATTCTACCCATCTCAATAATTAACAATAAACTAGTAATGTTTTAGAAAAAAAAATCTGAAAATACTTTTAAATTGTTAAAAATTAAACAATCGAACTAAATTAAAATGCTTTTAAGGAATGTTTTTAAAGTAATTAGTTTCTCTTTGATTAGTAAAAAGGATAGTTTGGATATTGTATGTCTCAAAAATCGATTTCAAAGTACAAGAAGAACATTTTTTTAAAGATAAAAGGTACAATTTTAATATTATAAAAGACACAATGTATAAATAAGATGTTTCACCATAACAGAGGTTCTCAAAATATGATTTCATCCCTGAAATATAATATTAGATTTGCAATCAGTTCATAAATACTTAATTTCTAAAGCTTAAATATAATTAAGTGTGTTTAAATAAGTCTTCATCTATATAATATTCAAGCCATGCTTCGTAGGTTCATTACTTCAAAAACCATTACTTTAAATTGTGGAATTTAACTGCTTGCTAGTAACTAATCTTATTCCTTTGTCAAACATTATTGTGTGGGAATCTGTAAGTGAACGGAATCGTAATAAGTAATAAAGTGATGAGAAAATATCATTCTCAAGGAGATTGTATTTAATTTGCTCTAATTACCGAAATTGAATCAACTATAAAATAATTTGAATAATCAATTAATGAAATAGAAAAAAAAATTAAACTAAATCTGACAAAGTAAAGTAAAATCGAAATAAAATCTCTAG